CATGTATACAAGATATGTATATAGAAAAATACAAATGTGTATGAAAAAAGTTGATCATGTATTTAAAACATGTTAATCAGCATCTAAAATAAAATGTTAATCTTGTATTTGGAAAATATTAATCAAGCATTTAAAGAATGTTAAATATGTATAGAAAAATGTTGACTATGTATTCAAAAAATGTTGACCATGTAGTAAAAAATAATAATCTTGTATTTTGAAAAATGCTAATCAAGCATTTGAAAATGTTAAATGTGTACAGAAAAAGATGCTGATGAAGTATTAAAAAACAGTTAATTTTGTATTTGAAATTTGTTAATCAGGCATTTGAAAATGTTAAATGTGTATACAAAAAATTGTTGACCATGTATTAAAAAATTAATATTGTATTTAAAAAAGTGAATCAAGCATTTAAAAATGTGCACGGAAAAAATGTTGACCATGTATTAAAAAATGTTCATCTTATATGCAAAAAATGTTAAATGTGTATTATAAAAACATATTAGATATGTACCAAAAAATTACAATATGTATGAAAAAAGTAGAGATAAAAAATTATAAGGTTTCAAAAAATATAAATCATGTATTTAAAAAATGTTTAACGTGTTTATGAAAAATATTTCTAATGTGTAATTTTTTTTGAATGTGTATTGGAAAACGTAACATGTGTTGAACAAAAAGTAAACCGATGAAAATGGACCAAAAAAAAGCAAAGATAACAAAGAAACCCAAAGTATAGTGAAGAACTAAAGAAAAATGGAAGGAAACCAATGAAAAAAATTATAACAAAGAAAAAAGCCCATGAAAATAAAAGAAATAAGGAAAAGAAATTAAAAAACCAAGAAGAACAAAGAGAAAAAAAATAAAGAGAACTAAAAATCAGTGAAAACTGATAAATAAACAAAAAACAGTGAAAGCAATAAAACCGGAGGACAACAATGAAAATCCAGAAAAACAAAGAAAACCATTGAAGAAATAGAGAAAACCGAAAGAAAGCAAAAACAAAGGAGAAAAAACAGAAGCGAACAAATTGAACGCATCGAGCGCAGCGTGCGAGGGAACGATTAGGTCGACCATGTACTGTAGCAAGCCGGGCATACATCTCGCTATAAGCAAGATATGGCCCTGGCGCATATCATTGGCCGCGGACGAGATCGGACTAGTCGACGGACAAATAGTGTGTTTGTTTTACAGGCCAGCTTTGAAGATGGCCTTACTTAATTATACTCCATCTGTTTCATCTGGAGGAGAACGTATCCTGTGCACCAAGAGTTTTTGTGCTGCCGGTACACCGAATTTTAAAAGTTATACTATGAGTTCTAAAAATTCTGAAAATAGTTGAATATATAGAAATAGCATACATCTAACGTGTCGCAAAATTTCAGTTGTAAACTCAACTCACAAGAGAAACAAAAACAACAAATTTAGCTATGATAGTGCTAATGGACCCAATTCATAGCATAGTTTAAATTAACAACATTCATATCAAAATTTGTCCTTTTTATTTCTCAAGGCACGAGTCAAATTTTTAGCTAAAATTCTATGACATGATAGATATGTATTGTGTTCCTATACTCAATTATTTTTACAAATTTTGAAAAGCTTTTGCATGAGTTTTTGACTTTGGTGCACCGGTAGCACAACTATGACATGATAGATATGTATTGTGTTCCTATACTCAATTATTTTTACAAATTTTGAAAAGCTTTTGCATGAGTTTTTGACTTTGGTGCACCGGTAGCACAACTATGACATGATAGATATATATTTTTGACTTTTTTGCCTGGCATCCGAAGAAGAATGTCTAGTTTATATTATAGTGAAAAATGCGTATCACTTAGCGACGGCCGTGCATGATGATCAGTTTTCCGGTGGATCTTCTAGTGCTAATCCTAAAGGAAACCGATCAGTTTGAAATATTATATGGCATTCAAATGTTCCTCTACGTATGAAGCATATGGCTTGGCGTGCGGCGACGGATGCAGTAGCGACTACAGCTTGCGTGCAATATCGGCATGGCATGGAACTTGTCCTCTCTGTGGCTGCTCCTCGCGGATGTGCCGTCACTCGTCATCCTTCTCCTTGGCGGTGAGGTTGGCCACGACCGCCTGCCGGAATACGAGGTCTTTGAGCTCCTCGTGGTGGCTCCGGCGCGCCGCCTCCTCGCGCAAGCTCCGCTCGGCAATGGCGGCCGCGACCGCTTCGACATCAGCGACATAGTCTTCCGGCCCGACGACTCCACGACGGCCGAGCTCTTCGGGATCCTCCTTGACGGGGACGAACTCGATTTTCTTTGGCTCCTCCGACCACTCCCTCTTCACGGGGAGAAGGCCCACGTCGAAAGAGGAGGAGCTCCCGGCGTACAAAGATCTCGCCGCGGAGGACGAGTCCGTGGCAGAGGACGGGGTACGTCCGTGCCAACGGTCGTACTCGTCCTTCTCGCGGACGCGGAAGCTCGGCGGCGGCGAGAGGCCGAGGTTGGTCCACTTCCTCGCGCCGTCCGGCCGGACGCTCCGCTCGCGCTCGGGGTCGCTGCCGTCGCCGGAGCCGCGTCCAGAGCTCCACATGCGTCCCCACATGGCATCTGGAAGTGGAAGAGGCTCGCCGGCGGCGAGAAATGTGGGAGGGGAGTGGGGAATTGCGAAGCTCGGCGGCGGCGGGGGCAGGGTTTCGACCCGCAAACGCGTCGCGAACCCGTAGATATACTGGTCGGGGCGGGCGGTTTGCGGGTCGTGGTAAATTTTTTTACAGGCCGGATAAGTATGCGGGGTCTGTTTTGGCCGCAAAATTGGGCCGAGCCTGTATACTCGCCAGAATTATGCGGGTTCGCGGTTTTTGTGGAGTCTGCTAGAGTTGCTCCAGTGGGTAACAATGGGCAAGAATGGTTGCTCAATCTACCGCTAACTGCAACGAGGCATAGAGGGATCGAGTATTAATGCTCATTTGACGTGTATGGCAATTACATAATAATCTTATTCATGATAAAGAGGTTCCCAGTGAATATTACGGTTGACTTTTTAGTGAGCTATGTGAATTCTATTTGTGATGCCAAGAAATTCAGCACTGAGGAAATACTCAAGGGGAAAATGTCGGTTGTTGATTGGGCTTTGCCCGAAGTGAGAGTTAATCCTGTTCCTAAGAGCATCTATCGCAGACCCCGTATGCCGTCGACCTATAAAATGCGTTTGCAATTTACGGAAAAACTGCTTTGAGGGTCGGCGCGGACGGACGCAGATGTAAACCCCGCATAACGGACCCGTAAAAAAGGATATTCGCAGAATATGCTCTTTTACGGGTCGGCTTTGCGGGGTCTGGTCCGGCGTCGCTCCTCCCGGCCCCGGAAAATCTAAATTTGCATCTCAATTTGATCCAACATAATGCATTTCTTTGGTTTTTCAACAACATTGAATACATAAAACATCACAAAATCTTTGCTAGAATAGCAAGACCAAAGAAAACAAGAACCACAAGTATGCATTTTAGAAGATTCTCAACTTCCATAACCGCTCCCACTAGTTGGAGTAATATCTTCTCCATGCATTCATTGTTGATATGTGGATTCTTGATTTTGCATTCTTCTTCTTCATCTTTGGTTCGAAAGAAGTAGACGTTGCTTCCCCTCTAGTTGCACATGCAGCCGCATCATTACCTTCGATTCTATTAAGGAGTGCACGAACATTTATTAAGTTTCTTTCTATCAATAAATCAATGTATTCGCCTTCCGAAAACCAAAATGAGCATCCATCTTCCTACACACATGAATGAGCATGTTCGAAATGAGCTACCGCAATTGAACCAAAGAATGAGCTATCAAAATGAGTTACCGCAGTTGAACCAAAGAATGAGCTATCGAAATAAGCTACGGCAAGTGCACGTACCCCGTCGTTTTCGCATTTGAAGAACACCCATCCGGGGTGCTTCGGCGTGCCCGAAGTTAGCCGCAGCATTGTCCGGGTGCAGTCGTCGCACTATATGAGCGGCATCGGCGAGCCACAGAGCCGCTGCGTGAGCGCCGAGCCCGGTGGACGGCCGGCCGAATCCATGCCCGCAAACCGTCGGCAGCGGCGGGAGGACGAACCCGTACCTGCATGCGGCGATGCGACCTTGCCAGGGCTGCGCGAGATGCTCCCCGACCACTCCATCGCTTGGCGCAGCCACTGGCGACCGGAAATGACAAATCCGGCCGCCCGCGATGAAGGGCCGCAGATCCGCAACTTTCTCGCCCGCTGTCGCGAGAGGGGGTGGCGGAGGGCAACCTCGTGCGTGTGGCAGCCTTTCGGCGTGCTTCCACCGGCTACTTTCGTCGGAATCTTGGGCGGCGGCCCGGCAGCGGGGCGAGGGGGAGAGGGGTGGTGGTTGGTGGGGAAAAGCGCGGGCTGAAATGTCCTTCCCACCAAC